TGTAAATAGTCAGAGAGCTTAAATAGGTAATCTCCTAGTTAGATTGCAGGCATGGCGGCTAGTGTAGAACTCAGGTGAACTACTTAAATAGACAACTAAAAGTTGTACGTGTGGCTAGTTGTACCCTCATCATAATTGTAGACATTGTTAATTATATAATAAAAAGCCCCGGCCATAGAGGTCACTTTAATATCAAAAAAAAAAAAATTTTAACTTAAATTTATAAATATTTATGATTAATTTTATAACGTTATTTTTTAAAAATTTTTATTAGCAAAAAATAAGCTATTAAAAAGGTAGTTATAAGTAAGTTAATAGAATATTAAAATTTTACCAATATTTTAACTATATTTTAACTATATTTTAACTATATTTTAACTATACTGTAAATATATTTATCAAAATATATAGGTTTTTGCAAAGTAGAAGTGCCCTAGTATATAAAACTAAATTATTCATAAGAGAAAGACACAGAGATATGCTGAACTTAGAAAAGTATAATAGTATATTTTATATTATAAATGCACTAATATAGAAAAGAAGTTTGCTTTTACAATGATTTTCTATAGAAATTAAATATAAAAATAGGTATAAATTCTTTATCTAAAACACTTGCTTGCAAATTAAGAGACAAATTAAAAATTTATTATTTTTAGGAGCTGAACTAAAGTTTAGACTGATAAATCTAAGCTATACCTCTGAAAAGCAAAATCAGTTCAATTACTTTAAATTAAGATTCTTTTAAAACTATATATCATTATTGTAATGTAAAAATTCTAATAATTTGAAAGAAAATAAAAAAAAGGTCTAATTGATTTATTATAATATAGCAAAATAACTTATATTATAAAGTGCTAATATAAGATAAAAATTGCTTTTGATATTGATTTTCTGATATCAACTATAAGAAATTAGATGCATAAACCAATTTTGATCTCCTAATTAATACACTTGCCAATAAATTAAAGGACATATTTGTTAATCAATATGTAAAAATTTAGCCAAACATGCACTTAGAGAGGTATTGTATTTAGTGAGATAAAAATCTATAGATGTTGTATTAGTTGGGCCCAAAGAGAAGACGTGCATTTAGAAAGGTTTTTTATAGGATATATACTTGAAGTTGTATTTAGAAGTCTGACTGTAATTAGTATACATGTTTCATACACTAGTATAGATTTAAAAATTTTCTTTTTAATTTTACTATTAAAAATTGAAAATTTTAAAATTTTAATTCTACATAGTGCTGTAGTGCTTGGCACAATATTTGATAATCAAATACTTGTGATTAAATTGAACTTCAAATAATATATAGTATTGGTTGACCTGCGATCATTTGATGTCCGACTAAATCACAAGTATTTGACTGTTAAATTTTCAAAAAGCATATATACAATTGGTCATGTGATTGGAAAAATGCCGGCCAGGAACCCGGAAAAATATCGATATCGATATGGTCAAAAATATCGATATGCCCATGATTGACCAATAAGAATTCAAGATTTGGTGTAACATTAAATAACGTGATCAGTATCTAAGTTCGGGAAGTTAACGGAAATTTTTGTTTACTAACAGATACGGTGCTACTCCACAGGCCTAGACCCTTAGTTAAAGGAATATATGAAAATAGTTATATAATCAGAAAAAAACTTACATATGTTAAGGCGAAGCTTTACACTAGAGATATACAAATGTTGCATTAGTATATAATTTTTTAATTCTTGGCACAGATTATAATAATGCTGTCTTGGTTGACATGTTTCTCTTTTTTTATGCTTTTTTCATCTTTTTCCAGTTATAATTGAATAGCAATTTAGGTTTCTTTTTGTTTTCTCTCTTCTAAATTTGTTTTATTTCTTTTATAAATATGGCACTTGGTTTGTTTTTTGCGTAGAAGTTAGGAATCAACTTTTCTGCCAGATCTAGATGAGAAAAGTTTTAAGAAGAGAGAAATCTGGTAATCTTGACAAGCTAGTAACAGGCTTTTGTTGATCTTGCAGATCAGTTCTAGGAAGTTAGGACCTTGTGGGGAAGAGAACATATTGTTGCGGCAGATTGTATTTGGGCATCTTTAATGCAGCTGAGTGAGTTTTTATTATAGAAAAAGGAGGGTTGAGAGCAATAGTTTAAAACCTTTGTATAGTATTATACGTATTCTTTGATTAATAAAAACAGGATTGCTAAAAAAAAAAAAAAAAAAAGCCATAATATTATATAAAAAATTTTGAATATTGTGAAATATCAAAATTACAAAATATTATATAAGATATTTCAAAATATTTCAAAATATTTTATATAATATTATAGCTTTTTATATTAATTGATGATCCATCACAAATTGATAAAGTTACACCAATTAAATGTGATAGAAGATCATTATAAAAGTAATCAAATAGGCAATTTTTTGTTTTAAATAAAATTGCACAACCTTACTATATAGCATATAAATTATTATAATTGGATCAGCTAATACTAAAATTATTTAACTTCAAAATTTGATAGTTCATTATAACAACCAATTTGACAGGTACTTTAAGTGGGCTGCTTAATTCAGAGTATTGTAACTATGAATATCTAGTGCGATTTCAAATATTAAGCAGGTCAAAAAAACTATTTCTAATTAATTTTTTCAGATTTTATAGTTCTTAGCTGCTTTACAACTATTTAGTTCGCTATAACTATATTGCTTGATTGGGTTTTTAATTTTAATCAAGCATCAAGTATTTCGTTATCACAGCTAAATCTAAGTATAAACTTTATTTATATTTTATAGTTATTATATTAAATCTTACTTACTTATTGGCTAATTTTTTTTTTTTTTGTATCACTTGCTCCTTAAACTCAGCCAAATAGCTATTTATCCAATTTTTAATTGTATTCATGTTTGGCACATCTTCTTTTCCCACCTCCCCAGATACTACAAATTCTTGAAAAGAATCATGCATCTCTTGTGTAGTTAATTTATCATGAAGATTAATATTTCTATTCAAAAACATACTAATCAAAATTTGTTTGACATATTTTTTTATATGTTTACCATCACCTTTTTTATCATATTTTTGATTCCCTTTTACTGCCCAACTTTTTCAAATCTATAGACTTGATCAATATCTATCAATTTATCATCTAGATAAGTAAAGTGCATTTGAAAATTATTTATTTGTAGAATTTAATCTGATATAATGATTATAAAATTTCTCACCTAGCTCATTAGAATCTTTTGATATCAGACAAGGTAATATGTTAATTGTACCTATATCATCTAATGCTATTAATTTTATAATATGTTATATATTCTTAATAGATATGTATAGCATATATGTATTGTCAGCAAAATTTTTTCTAATGACTTTTACCATTTACCATTATATATAATACTCATTTCTATTAAAAAATTCCAAATACTATTCATAGATTTGGTGATTTTATTTGCAGAAAAGACTTTATATAAAAGAAAAGTATTATATATAATGGCAAATAGTATATAATTTCTGCTAACAATTAGTTTGGTAGAAATTACAATTAGACATTATATAAGTAACAAGAAGGAAAGTTAGTAAATTAACTTTAACCTTCATCTTTCAGAATTAGCCTTTGAAAAATCTTTAACTTCTAAGACTATAATAATGCAATATGTATACCAAAATGACTAGAATAACTAATTGTATATTTGATCACAAGTTTTTACAACTTATTCTCATTATAATGAAGTTTCTTAACTGAGAAAAAAAATTGCACTATATCTTATATCAAGAGAATATTATATTTACTTTACTATATTAAGTTAAATTTTAATAGCTCTGAATTTAAAAAAATCTTTACTATAATGAAAATAAGTTGTATTATAGAATAATTGCTCAGAGGCTTAGTCAGATGAGGTGAAAATTATTTTTGTTACTCATATAAAGCATATCATTAAGTTTAGATAATCAAAATTAGCATTTATATTTACTTGGTCAAGCCATCATCCATTTATTCTTAAGTATAGTAGAGCTTAATAACACTGGTTCAGGCTTGGAGATTTCATTATTGCTAAAATTTGCTATTGTAGCTGGTGAAAAATGAATGGGCTCACCAAAATTTGGTATTGGTTGTGCTTGTATATAACCTGCAAATGTGCTATCAATTGGCCATTCACAATAAAAAAAATTAGAAATTTCTGGAATAGTATTAATAGTAACTTTTTTTTTTTATTAAGTTTTTCAGAATTTTCCAATTGATTTACTTCTTTTTTAGTTCTATTAGGTTGAATATTTGTGAGATAGATTCCTGATAATTCTTTTGCTGCATCTACAATATCTAACCCTTCTGAAATATCACATCCTATCCTTATATAATGTTCTATAGTATGGGAAATCTATTGCAGAGGAAAAATCATACTGTATTTTCATATAATAATGCTTATGAGCATTATTTAGAAAATTGTGGCCCTAAAAATATTATATATAGTTTCAAATAATACTCATATACATCCCAAATAACACGCATCTTATAGTAAGAGAAGCTTATTCATAGTAAAATTTAAACAATACTTTCAAAAAAGATGCTAAATAAATTTAATTTTGAACTTTAATAAAGTTATCTATCAGATCATATCGATCTTGAGAACAACTTTATTAAAGCTCAAAAGTAAGTTTACTTAATACCAAGTTTTTTTGTTTTTGTAAGAAGATACTTAGAAACTTTATATTTGTTTCATACGCGTACTCTAAATTATGTATATATAATATGCAGATGAGCAATATTGCACAAAAATATGACAAGATAAAACTCTTTCTGCAAATCCCTAACACAAAAATCTACTTCAAATTCGCCTAACAAAAAACACCTATTTTTCAAAA